GCAACCGCAGAAGGCTGCGCGCCACCCAAACGTGGCGGACCACGGCAGGAGCCGACCACCGACGGCAGCCCGCGAACGGCGGAGTGAAGAGTCGCCGCGCCGACGCCTGAAAGATGTCCTCGGCGTCCCCCTCCGAAACACGCCTGATACGGGGTCGGCCAGGTGGTGGCGCATTGTTGGCCGTCCGCCGAAGGGCTGGACCAGAGGAGGGCGCGAGCGGAATGACAGGGCATACCAGAGACTCCAGCAGTGGGGGGTGGGCCATCGGCGCTGCATCCATGCCCCCACTGCTGCCCCCCAGCCCTGGGCGCCAGGGGGGGCCAGGGCCTAGGCAACACGCTGGCCTACATCCAGCGGCGAGCGAGGGGGGGAAGCGAGAAGGAGAGGGAAGGCCTTCTCAGAAGGCGGCAGGACTTCTCAGACGCCCTCGCGCCTCCTGAGAAGCTGTCTCCGTCTTCGGGGAAGGCTCCAGCATCTTCTCAGAAGGCCTGGGGGCTTCCGAGCCATCTGAGAAAGCCCGACCCTTCTCACTTCCCCCGTCCCGGTCTTTCCCGACCGCCCTGTGGTGTCGGGTCCTCGCTTTGGAGACACAGCGCTCCGCGTCTCTCCTCCTCCCTCTCCTCCTCCCTCTCCTCCTCCTCCTCCTCCTCCTCCTCCTCCTCCTCCTCCTCCTCCTCCTCCTCCTCCTCCTCCTCCTCCTCCTCCTCCTCCTCCTCCTCCCGGGGCTCGCCGCCGATACATGGGCCACTGTTCTACCCGTGCCCCCACGCTGGCCCCTCGTGGGGCAGGCGCCCCAGACTCTCAACGCGATGCCTCTCTTCATCAGATGGGCCTGCGAGGGCAGGCCGGGGCAGGGCTCGAGCTGAACGGTGTTTTTTGCTGCTTTCGTTCTGCTTTCGTTCTGCCTGCTTGTTTTTTGCTTGCTGCTTTCGTGCTGCTTTCGTGCTGCTTTCGGTTGCTCTTTGTTTTTGTTTGCTTTCGGTTTGCTTTCGTTCTGGCTCTGCTCCTTCGGTATGTCTCCGTGCTGCCTCTGCTGCCGAACGGAGTCAGGCCGAGAACGCCCACGGGATCGCCTACAGAAACACCACGGATAGCTCAAGCTCCCTGGCCGGGTGGGGCCAGCTGCGGCCGCCGCAAGGGCCCAGGGATTTTTGCAAGGAGGCGCGGCCAGACCAGGGCTTAGTGGGCCCTGGAAACGACAAGGCCGTTTTTTTACCGGTTCCGTTTCGCCGTTTTTGTTGCCGGTTCCGACGCCCTTTTTTTTCCGGTTCCGTCGCCGTTTTTTGACAGGTTCCGGCTCCGGTTCCAATCCTGGAACCGTTTTTGTTGCCGTTTCCGGTCGCCGTTTTTTTTTTTTGCCGCTTCCATGCTCAACGGATATTTTTTTGGAAAACGGTGAAAAAACGGCCCTGCCGTTTCCGACCCCTGGAGGCATGACGCGGGGGCACTGCAGCCGGGCATCTGAAGCCTGCGACCCTGGCGCTGCAATTCTGCACGGTGGGCGTTTTTTTTTCAAGCGACTTCGGGCCCCCTGGGCCCTCGCAGGTCGATCCGGCTCGAGACACGATGCAGAAAGTGATGGGCTCCGGGGCTCCGGTCGCGATCTTTGTTTTCCGATGCTGCAGAAATTTTTCGCAGCGTCGGGCTTCAGGGAGGCGGGGAGCGCCAGGCAGGGAGCGAGGCCCCCTTGCTTTTGGCCCCCGAGCACGAGGAGGGCCGCGAGGAGCAGCCCTGGAGGGGCCCGAGGAGCCTCGAGCCCCTGCCGAAGCCAGCCTGGTCGCTCGTCCGGCGTCTTGGCAGTGCAGCCAGGAGCGTTTGCTTCGCGTGCCGCGCGGCGGAGGCTCGAGATCCCGGTGTGGCCTCCAGGATCGCTCGAGATGACCCAGGATGGTTCAAGGCATAGCCTTTGATTGAAGGGGCCCTGGGGCACACAAATAAATACACACAAATAAAAGGATTCCCCATATCCCATATTGTCCCATATTTTCTGGGTTTTCGTCTTCCCCCCACTTCCCATACAGTGTTTTCCTATATTTTCTGGTGAATCGCCGATTAATTGTGTCTGTGTGTTTCTTTCCCTCCTGATTGATATGCCTCCGAGTGTCCTCCGAGCCTCTCCAGGAGGCCTCCCGGAGGCCAATCTCAGTCAAATCCCAGGTGTTAGTCGATGTGTGTTCGCCTGCTCGCCTTTTTCGCCTCCCATGGGCGCTTGAGGCCTCAAGACGGCTCTAAGCCGGCCCTAGAGGGCCCAAGAGGGGCCCAGGATGGCCCCAAGGAGGCCACAAGAGTGCCCAAGAGCACCCGAAGAGCACCCAAAAAGGCTCCCCAAAGGCAAATCTTCAGGCACAGACGGGGGGAGGGTAACTTGAGTACCCCCCAGGAGGCCCCCAGCGTGCGATCACGAGGCCAGGGCAGCGGTATCCGTATCGTTTCCCTCCTCCGATTTCTACCTGCTGCTGCTGCTGCTTCTCTTCCCGCCACTCGACCCATCCCCAGACGGGAACGCCCGTCTGGAGGCACTTTTCCCTCGCGCAGGCCAGGGAGGCCCCTGATCGCCGCTTCGAACACGACGAGGGCGCGGAGCTCTGGGGCCACGCCGACCCAGCTGGCGACCTCCAGGGGAGCCCAGCATCGGGTCGACATTGCGGACCCGCGATCGACATGCATCGGCTCGGCGGCAAGATCGGCAGCCCGGTCGGGAGCCATCGAATCGGCGCAAGTCGGCAGGCTGGGGGGAAGGCCTCCGCGAACCCGAATCGGCATCCCCAGACCCCCGACGTCATAATTTGTTCATGATGTCGACCCAGGCGGTTCTCGACCCGTTCCCCGGGACTGGTCTCTCATCCTATGGCTCGTTTCTTTGGGCAGTCCCGAAGCCCTGTTACTCACCCCAGGGGCCGAAAATAGCGAAAAACCCTCGGTCATGATTTGTCCATGACCCGAGGGGGTCTGGGTCTGGAGCCGCACCGACTCGGCGGAGGCGGCACGAAACCCTGGGCTCAGGTCGGGCATGTCCTCCTACAGGCGGATTTGGAAGAAACCTAAAAAAACACCCCAAAACAGATCCCCAAACCAGCGAACAACATACTCACAACAAAAAAATCGTCCCCGGACTGTTCTTTGACTACACTTGCCCGCTTAGCTTCGACCGGAAGAGGTGCGCTCTCGACCCACGAATCCAACAAAAAACTGTTCTTGGACTACTCTTGACTCGAAGGATTGCAAAAAAAAACCCTCACTTGAACGAAGGATTGCAAAAAAACGAAGGATTGCAAAACGAAGGATTGCAAAAAAACTGAGGTTTTTTTGCAATCCTTCGTTTTTTTGCAATCCTCCTGTAGAAGGACACGCCCGGCTCGACCCGGGGCCTCCGCTGCGGCCCGCGCGGCCCCGCGCTCGGGAGCGGCCAAGAGGGGGGCGTCCAAGAGGGGGGGGTGCAAATCATGACCGGCGGCACGTGCGCGGCCCAGCGGGGGGGCCAGGGACGGAAGGAAAGAAGAAGCGGCGCCGTGCAAGCTGGGGAAATATCATGGCCCACGCCATGAGATCCCCCCCCCCCCCTCGCCCTCACCCCCCTCCTTTCCGCCACGCGCGGCGCGGCGGCGCGGCCACGGCGGCAGAGCCTCGGGGCCCCCCGCAGCCTCGGGCGGGGCCCCCGCGGGCGGGCCGCGCGCGCTGCACGGCGCCCTGCTCGCCGCGGGGGCGCCGAGGGCCGCGCCGGGGGCCGCGGCGAGGCGCCCGCGGGCGGCGAGCAGCTCGCGCGCGGCGGGGCGCGGGCCGGCGAGGGGCCCGGCGGCCTCCGCAGAGGGCGGGCACGAGGACGAGGACGAGGACGAGGACGATGACCACGACGCCGACGCCGACGACGACGACGACGACGACGACGACGACGACGACGACGACGACGACGACGACGGCGGCGGCGACGACGACGACGACGACGGCGGCGGCGACGGCAGCGACGGCGGCGACGACGACGAGGCGACGACGAGGCGACGACAAAGCGACGACAAAGCGACGACGAGGACGACGGCGGCGGCGAGGGCGGCAGCGGGCCAGCCGGGGCCCTGGCGGCCTCCGCAGGGCTTGCCGTGCCGCAGCCCGCCGCCGCCTCGTCCGCGGGCTGGCGGAACGCGTCCGCCGCATCGCGGCGAAACTCCGCCACGAGCGCGGCCCGCCGCTGCGCACGGGCCCCGGCCGCGGCCACGGCGGCCTCGACGACGACGACGACGCCGGCGGCGATGACAACGACGGCGACGGTCACGGTCACAACGGTCACGACGACGACGACGATGACGACGACGACGACGACGAGGACGAGGACGGCGACGGCGACGGCGACGGCGACGGCGACGGCGACTGACGGCGACGGCGACGGCGACGGCGACGACGACGACGACAACGACGACACCGGGACGACGACGACGACGACGACGACGACGACGACGACGACGACGACGACGACGACGACAACGACGACGACGACGACGACGACGACGACGACGACGACGACGACGACGACGACGACGACGACGACGACGACAACGCGACGACGACGCGACGACAAAGCGACGACGAGGACGATGACGGCGGCGGCAAAGCGACGACGAGGACGATGACGGCGGCGGCAGCGGTCCAGCCGGGGCCCAGGCGGCCTCCGCAAGGCCTGCCGCCCCGCCGCCCGCCGCCGCGAGACGGTGTGCGTCGACCGCCGCAGCGCCTGCGAAGTGGCCCTCCGCGGCCGCGCCAGCCGCGCCCGGCGCGGCGCCGCCGCGCGCGGCGGGGCAGCCACCGCGCGCCTCCGAGGCGCCCGGCGAAGAGCCCGCGGTCACCGGCGAGGCGGCGAGCGGCGAGCAGCTCGCGCTGGCGGGCACTCCTGTGGCGTCGCCGCCGCTCGCCGCCGCGGCTGGCCGGTCTGCGCACGCCGCCGCGAGGCTGCGCCGCGGGGGCGCCTGGGCCGCCGCCGCGCCCGCGGGGGAGCCCTCCACGGCGGCTGCCCCCTCGGCGCCCCTGTGTGCCCCCCGGCCGCTGGGCGGAGAGCCCGCGGCCACAGGCGACGCGGCGAGGGGCGAGTAGCTCGCGCTGGCGGGCGCCTCCGTGGCCGCGGCGGCCGCCGCCTCCGCCTCCAACTGCGGCTCCGCCTCCGCGTTCCTTGCGCGCTTGGACTGGGAGGCCTCGGCGGCGGCCGCGTGCCCGCGCTTGGCCGCCGTGTGCACCGCGGCCCGCAGCTCGCCCGCGAGGTGGGCCGTGCGCGCGCCGCGGGCGCGGGAGGCCTCCAGCAGCAGCGCCCGCAGCCGCGTATAGTCGGGGCACGAGCTGTACTTCAAGGGCGCGATCTCGCGCACGAGCTCCACGAGCTGCTTTGGGAGCCTGCGCGGAGCCGAAGGATTTTTTCTGGGGGTCCAAAATCGTGTGGTGCCACGCCGTGCGGAGAGGTCTGAGGCCAATAACGACCTCACTGCACGGTCCGTCACCGCACGGTCTTGAATCCTTGGCAGTTCCGGACGCCCGAAACCTCATCGGAACGCGACCGACGCCCCACGAACGTGCGGACACCCAGAATCACCACTGGCTCTCCAAATGCTGTGGCCACCGCGCCGCGTGGGGCCCCCAGGGCTTGCGACGGCTCTCTAAGGCCCCGAGAAGGACTGTGCGTGTGAGTGTGTGTGTGTATAGCATTCCACCTCTGTAGGTCTTTAAATTTGGGCCCACCCCCCCTGCATCTGTCAGGGGGAAATGAACTCCGTCCAACCTCCTCCTTTGATCCCTGTCCTCCTCCTCCGAGTGCTACTACTACTACTACTACTACTACTACTACTACTACTACTACTACTACTACTACTACTACTACTACTACTACGACTACTACTACTGACTACTACTACTACTACTACTACTACTACTACTACTACTACTACTACTACTACTACTACTACTACTACTACTACTACTACTACTACTACTACTACTACTACTACTACTACTACTACTTACTACTACTTACTACTACTTACTACTACTTACTACTACTTACTACTACTTACTACTACTACTACTACTACTACTACTACTACTACTACTACTACTACTACTACTACTGACTACTACTACTACTGACTACTACTACTACTGACTACTACTACTACTACTACTACTACTACTACTACTACTCAATACTACTACAGCGAATACTCATACTACTACTACTACTACTTCACCACTGTTGATTCACTACCACACTACTACTTTCTCCACACTACTTACTACGACTATACTAGTACCCCATTACTACTACGACGACGTGGACGACGCGAATCGGTTCCGAGACTACTGAAACTACTACTACTACTACGACTACTACTACTACTACTACTACTACTACTACTACTACTACTACTACTACTACGGATATACGACTAATACTACTACTACTACTACTACTACTACTACAACTACTACTACTACTACCACTACTACTACTACTACTACTACTACTACTACTACTACTACTACTATTCATACTACTACTACTACTACTACTACTACTACTACTACTACTACTACTACTATTACTACTACTATTATTACTACTACTACTACTGCTACTACTACTACTACTACTACTACTACTACTACTACTACTACTGTTACTACGACGACGACGACGACGACGTTGACGACGACGACGACGACTACTACTAATAATAATAATAAACCAACTACGTTAGTTGTTACCACAACAGCAACGATAACTACTGCGAATGGCGCGGAGGAGACGGAGTCAAGGGATGAGGATACTAAGGTGGGTTGGGCGAGGAGCTGGAGATTGGCGAGGAGGAGGTCCAGGAGGATCTTGCTGAGGCGCACCGAGGAGCACAAGAGGAGGGCAGGGGCTGCGTCTCCCAGCCTCGGGCCTGGCAAGGTAGCCCACGGCGGGGCGCAACGCCGCCACCCTCCCGGGATCGCCGTTCGTCGCGGCCGCGATCAGCCGCTTCTTCTCCTCCAACACCCTCAGCTTCGCCGCCTGGCGTTCCTCCTCCTCCTCCCCCTCCCCGTCCTCCTCGTCCTCCTCCTCCTCGTCCTCCTCCTCCTCCTCCTCGCACTCCTCTTCCACCTGCCCCAACTCCCCCTCCTCCCCCTCCTCCTCCTCGTCCTCATCCTCGCCCTCGTCCTCCTCCCCATAGCACCTGGCACCTCCTGGCTCCTACTGCCGCTTCTCCGCCTCCTTCGTTCCAGCCACCTCTTCCCTGGCATGTTTGTTTTGGCATCGTGCTGCGCATACGGAAGCGGCCACCCCGAGGTGTGCGGAGAGAGTTTCGGAGGAGGAGGGGAGAGGAGGGAGGAGGAGGAGGCGGAGGACGGACGGACCCCCACCGCAAGCACGCCCACAGCTGCAACAACGCTACTGCGACCACACCTGGCGACGGATGGAAGCCATGGCGGCCGTCCGACGTCGCCTTCCAACAATCCCAGGAGGAACACCAACACAACATCACTACGGCGGATCAAGAGACTCCCCCCTGATCGCCCACAACCGGCGAGGCCTACGCCTCCTGACAGGACCGGCCCAACAGCGGCCCATCAGTGCGCCACACTTCCTCCCACCTGACCTTGCACAGTGTTGTCCACTTGTTCCACGACAGAGAGGAGACATCGCACCAGCTGCTACCTTCCTCCACCACACCTCGGCACTACTCGTGTATCGAACAGCCCGCACTCACCGACACGATCGGCAGCAGCACAGCTGGATATACACACTCCATACCCCTTTCTCTCCGACGGCAGCGGGACACGGACTCCCACAGGTCACAGCACACGGCGAGCACACGCACATCTTCTACTCCATGCAGTGGGCCCCTCGGGGCACCCCCACGCACAAGCTACGCGACAACATCCGACGCGTGTGAGGCAATGCGTGCTCCACCGACGTCCCACCTTCAACCTTTTCCTGGCCCACCTCCACTTACTAATCTACCACCATCTTTGCTCATGTGGTCGCGTGACGGGGCTGGATGCAACGGGGGCACGCGCTTAAAGCAAATGGGAACGACACGATTGTTTTTCTTTTTTGTATAGAAAAATAAACAAACAAATCAGTTTCGCGGGGGAGACGGGTAGGACACGAGTAAACCACGCGCTCGCGGCGACGCTCGAGGGCACCTGGCGCGCGCGCGCCGCCGCTCGAGGGCGCCTGGCCCGCGCGCGCAGCCGATCAGGAAGGAGGAAGAGGAGGGGGCGGGGGAGAGGCCAACCGACGAGGAGAAGGGGGATAACGGGGCGGAGGGGGAGGAGGGGGAGGAGGGGGAGGAGGAGGAGGAGGAGGAGGAGGAGGAGGAGGAGGAGGAGGAGGAGGAGCGAGGAGGAGGAGGAGGACGAGAGGAGGAGGAGGAAAAGGATGGGGAGGAAGGAGGAGGAGAGGAGGGGGAGAAAGGGGAGGCAAGAGGAGGAGGACGAGGAGGAGGAAGGGGCAAGGTGTCACGGCATGCCGGCCTCGCAAGGGCCAGGGCAGCCGCGGCCGCAGCCAACATCGCAACGCAGCCAGCTCAGCCACACCACTCTTGGCACACTGCAGGAGCAGCGCCGTGCGCAGCGTGCCTCGCACCGAGTAGGGGTGGTATCTCATTGCCCCACTGTGTCCAACACTCTTTTAAAACGATATGTTCTACCCTTCGTCTCTCCCCCGCAGCCTGTTGCTCTGCTACCAGCGGCCGCAACCACGTGCTGGCTGCATGAACTAAAACATGACGTTGTTTTTGATTACGGGGGGCAGTTCGGCGGTAATCACATGGGGGGGGACACTCCTCCTCCTCCTCCTCCTCCTTCCTCCCTCTTCCCCCTCTTCTCTCCCTCCTCCTCCTCCTCCCTCCTCCCCTCCTTCCTCCTCCTCCTCTCTCCTCTCCGTCCTCCCCCTCCTCCTCCTCCCTCTCCTCATCCTCCTACCTCCTCATCCTTCCTCCTCCTCCTCCTCCTCCTCCTCCTCCTCCTCCCCCTCCCCCTCCTCCCCCTCCGCCGATACGCCTTGCGCGGCTCCACTTATTTCAGAGCCGGCGGCGGCCCGCCGTCACCGCCCCCAGTCTCACTGCGACGCCTAACGGCACGGCAGCGCGCAGCAACCGCATGCGCAACGCCGCGCGGCCACAGCGCCTGTGCACCGCGCCGCTCAGAATGCCCCGTTCTGCTGCACGCGTCGCCCCCCACCGCCACAGCCGACGCAGCAGCTCCCGGCCTCCTTCCTCCCTCCTGCGAGGTTCTGATCATGGCTCTTGCTGTCTCTTCCCTCCCCTCTGCGTCTGTCTGGCTGCCGCCACGAGCCCATCGCCATCCTCGCCCCTCTCCTCGCGGTCACGATGGTGTCTCTGCCTCCTTCTCCTCCTCCTGCCTGTGGGCGTGTGCTAAATATCTCCACCACGCGTCTGAGTACGTGTCGTCGGTGGCCCTAATTTGATCCACCCCCCTCAGGCCCGACCAGCCCTGGGGTGGGGATGCTACGAGCGGCGTTTTTTCCAGCCACCAGGAACCAGTAACCAGAAACCAGGCGGAAGAGGAGGAGGAGGACCTGTGTAAATCCAAGAGTCATCAACCATGTTGGAATGACCCCTCGCTCCAAGCCCCCTTATTCATAGGCCTCATGCAAGGGTCCACTTCCACTGAGGGAACTGCCTCGTTGGAAGACAACCATTTGAAGAACTTGACGCGTGCCAAAACATCGTTCTCGGGATTCCATCACTACGGATCAACCTGACTGTTGCGTCTTGACGATCCCGAATCGTGCCAGAACGCCATTCATGGGACTTCAACACCGCGACTTCACGTAACTGGTGACCCCCCATAATCCTGAGCCCTTCCAAAACACCTTTTCTTACACTGATCATGGGAATCCGTGACATTCTTGTTTCTGTTGAATAAACAAATGTGAGTGGCGCTGAGGCGAGAGGCACATGTTGAAAATAAACCGCCCTCAATCCGCGAAACGCTTGCACATGTTTTCTTCTTTAAAAAAGGTGCGCGGCGCTAAAACGAGAGCCACATTTTGAAAACGATCCGCACTCAACCCGTCAAACGCTTGCATCTTTTGAATAAAAAACGAATGTGACGGGCGCTACGGCGAGAACCACACGTTGAAAACGGCCCGCCCTCCATATGTGTCACTCTTTAAGGTTCAGGGTCATACATGGGGAGGAAGTCTCAGGCGACACGCCCTGACCGCCCTAAAAACTGGCCTCGGGGTGCAACAGGGAGAAATTACTTGAAATGAAAACGAATAGAGGAGGAGACGGAGGATGATGAGGAAGTAGAGGAGGAGGAAGAGGACGAGGAGGAGGAGGAGCAAGAGGAGGATGAGAAGGAGGCGGGAAATAATGAGGACGAGGAGGGAGGCGGATTAGGAGGAGAAGGAGAATCCCAGCGTAAGAGAATCAGGACGGGGAGGGGGAGGAGGAAGAGGAGGAGGAGGAGCAAGACAAGAAAGTGAACAACGGCCAAACGACTCGATGATCCCTTTTCCCCTTCGTCCCCCGCCTCCACTTCCGGGGTCCTCATCCTCCTCATCCCCCTCTTCTTCCTCCACCTCCTCCTTTTCCTCCTCCTCCTCCCCCCAAATACCGAGACGCTGCCGAGGACGAGGACAACGACAACGACGACGACATCTCTCTGCGCCCTGCTTGTTCGAGGTGAGCGCGGCGTCCGCCAGCAGGAACAGTATTATAATACTGGTGGAAAGTCAACCACCAAAAATGTCGTTGCTTCGTTGAATGGGGCCCCAGGGCACACAAATAAATACACACAAATAAAACAGATTCCCCGTATGTTCCCATATTTTCTGGGTTTCTGTCTTCTCCCCCACTACCCATATTTTCCGTATTTTCTGCTGAATATTTGATTCATTGTGTGTGTTTTTTCCCCTCCTGATTCGTATCACTGAAGCGCTCACTTAGCCAATACGGCCGGGGTGCATCCCACGATTTCTGGTTCGTGGGCAATGAATGCCGCCGGGGCCAAAAATCTCCCACAACTGCTGTTCCTACCTCTCAGGTTTGCAATTCCGTCCGGCAGCTGGCTTGAACCACAAGTCCCTTGGCCAACTGTTCGAATCACCGTAAGTACCCTCCATGACTCGAAAGTCCAGGCTGCTGCCGTAGACGGGAAGCCTATGCGAGCCTCACTGGTGCTTGCCGAGCAGGCCTCGATACGTGCCCAGCCCAAGAACTCACCTGCTCCAAAGCTAAAAAGTCACACAGTCGACAAATTCTTCTGTTCCGTAGCAAATTGATCTTGGATAGAAGGCTGCTGCGACGTAGCCTACGTCCGATTCCATAGCTTCTAGGAGCTCCACTCTGCGGCCCAAGGACCCCGCTCGATATATGAATCTCCGCCGGCCTGAACTGCTGTAGGTGGCGCTGGAAAGGTGTAGGCTTCCAACGTGATGAAGTGACGCAGGGACCACGAAGCGCTGGACGGCGGCGAACTTCAGGCCAGTGGAACTCGTCCTCCCTGACCAAAGCAAACCCTTTGTGCTTCCGAGATTGAACCCAGGCAGCGCTGATGGGTCACTGCACTTCCTGGGCCGTATCACCATGTCGGAAACTGGAACGCATACATTACCAGCGGCGGGCTGTTCTTCGGTCCCAGAACTTTTTGAGGGTCGGGGGCGACGTCGGAGTGGTGTGGTGTATACCCTTTTCCCCGTTTCCCGTGGGAGCAATGAGACATGTATACGCCAGGATCCCGTATACACCAGGATCTGCTTTCTTGTGCGAATTTCGGTGTGGGGCCGTACAAAACGTCGGTGTACAGAGTCGGGCCCATTCCCATGGGAATGTACTTGTCGGGGGTGGACAGAACCCCCAACAGTGACACGTCGATTAGTGAATTGTCCGTTTTCGGTTCTCGAGAGGGCGCCGCGGCCGTTATTCTCCAGGCTTGCGCCCGCCAGGTTTGGGCCTCAGCTCGTTTTCACTAAACCACGTATTACTAAAGGAGGGTCTTTCCATCCCCGAACTTGGCACCCCAACGCTCTGAACTCTGGCGCCCTCGGCAACATGAGTACACCGACGGCGCGGAAGACTCCGAAAACACACACACCCTCGAACTCCTATGGCGCGCTGCCGCCAACCCGCGCTGCTCGAAACACTGTCTGGACGCCCCACGTGCAGCCGGCAACAGTTCCGCACCTGATTAAGGGGCCACATGCGAACCCTACCCCTACCCCCTCAGAAATCGTGGGGGGCAGGAGTAGGGTTCGCATGTGGCCCCCTACTGATGCCACGTATCCGTCATTTGCGTGAGCTCTTTCGTCTTGAAACGCGCGGGGGTCCAATAGTTGTCGGCGTTGGCTGCGCTGACAGAGCAGATAAACGAAGACGGCTTGCGCTTTCGACTCGCCCCCTGGCACTTTTCGATATCCGTGCCGAGCCTGCGCAGGTCGTCATGGGATATCTTGTGCCCCCACCCCTTCTTGTTGCAAAGCTCACGGAAGCGGCGGACCGAGGCGCAGTCGAGGCAAATGTTGAAACCGCGGCACGCTTCGGGGGCGAGTCGGGGGGGTCTACGACGACGACGACGACGACGGCGAAGACGACGACTTCGCGGCACACAAGAACCTGGATCCTCGACCTCCCCTTCCTCCTCTCCGTCAGCTTCTTCTTCCCTTCCCTGCTTCCACTCGACCTCCCCCTCCCTCCTCCTCCAACGCCTCCTCCTCCTCATCGTCATCATCATCATCAGCATCATCATTATCATTATCATCATCATGATCATCATCATCATCATCATCATCATCATCATCATCATCATCATCATCATCGTCATCGTCATCGTCATCGTCATCATCATCGTCATCATCATCATCATCATCATCATCATCATCATCATCATCCTGCTCCAAACGACGAGGACGATAACTGCGGCGGCGGCGACGAGGTCGACGAGCACGCCGATGACGGCGACGAGACGGCGACGAGGACGACGGCGACGAGGACAGCGACAAGGACGACAACGACGAGAACGACGATAGCGACGAGGACGATAAGGACCCTGAGATTTGAAGTTTCGAACAAAAAATGAGACAAGTCCCCAAATGACGACTGGCGCCCAAGACCTCGAGTAGGGGATCGACTACTCAATTGAGGTACCCTGACATGAAGTTCCTCGTCGGACCGTGGAGCAGAACGTAGGATGCCCGTGCTACGAATCTTCTGCGGACGTCTTTGTTGTATGGCTTCGGCGAGAAGGTCCATTCGGGCGTACATGGACTCTGTAAGCGATCCCCTGCTCGAAGGCCCCGCCTCCCTCCCCGAGGGCCCCGAAGGGGGCCCGAGTCCGGGCGGAGACGCCTGGCTCGAGCAAACATCTGGGCGCCGGGATCGCGGGAGCACGACGGCGACGAGGGCGGCGAGGAGGAGGAGGGGGGGAACGAGAGAGGGCGACGTGTACGACGAGGGCGACTCCGGCAGAAACAGTTGAAGCGACGGCGAAGAAGAACGAGGAGGAGGAGGAGGAGGAGGAGGAGGAGGAGGAGGAGGAGGAGGGCGAGGAGGAAGAGTAGAAGGAAGAGGAGAAGGAGGGCGAGGAGGAGGAGGAGGAGGACGACGAGGAGGAGGACGGCGAGGAGGAAGAGGTGGAGGAGGACGACGACGAGGAGGACGACGAAGAGGACGAGGAGGACGACGGCAACGACAACGACGGCGCCTGGCGCTCCTCGGCGGTGACAGCTGGGCCGTAGAGGGAGTCCCAGGGCAACAGGCCTCGGCGACCAGGGCAGCTGCAGGAAGAGGAGGACAGGAGGTTCGGTTCGGCTCTCCTCGGAAGCAAGGTGCACGACCTCGACAGCCGGGGGGGTGCGCAACTAATGCGTGGCACAGCCCAAGGATAGGAGTAGGATCGAGGAGGCCGGGGGGGGAAGATCGAGGAGGAGAAGGATCGAGGATGCTGGGGGGAGGATCGAGGAGGGGGGGGGAACGAGGAGTTGGATCGAGGATGATCGGGGGAGGATCGAGGAGGGGGGGGAACGAGGAGGAGGAGGATCGAGGAGGAGGGTCGAGGAGGATAGTGGGAGGATCGAGGATTTCACATGAATCATGCCTTGGGGAGCAATGCGCGTCGAGGAGATAGTTGAGCTGCCAGCGACCTGGCAGCACCGTCCCTCGGCGGTGGCAAACGCACGGCAGCACCCCAAACGACAAGGAAGACAGAACTGGTCCGAGTCACCTGACAACCGGCAGCATCGAGGAGGATCGGGGGAGGATCGAGGCGGAGGATTGGCGGCGAGCGAGGGGGGGGAGTGAGAAGTAAGAGGCCTTCCCAGCAGGCGGCGGGGCTTCTCAGAGAAACCCTCTGGCCTTTGGAGGAGATGCCCGCGTCTCCTCTCAGAAACCCTCCGACCTTCTGAGGAGTTGCCCACGTCTTCGGGGAGGGCTCGGACAACTTCTCGGCAGGTCGGGGGGTATTCCGAGGCCCGCCACTTCCAACTCCCCGCCCCCGCGCTCGCCGCCGAACGGCAGAGGATCGACGAGGAGGAGGGTCGGAGAGAAGGAGGACGAGTATCGACGGGGAGGGAGCTGCGGGAGGAGGAGGAGGAGGAGGAGGAGGAGGAGGAGGAGGAGGAGGAGGAGGAGGACGGACAAAGATCGAGGAGGATCCCCTAACGTTCTTCGGCCTCTGGGGGTCTCACGGGGCTCCCGCCAGGACCGTCAAATAGCGCCTCAACGCCGACCCTGTGGAAAGGGGCGGCACTTCAGGGACTCCGCACTGAAGCATCACGGCTGAGGAGGAGGGAGGAGAAGGATCAGGAGGAAGAGGAGGAGGACGACGACGACGAGGACGAGGACGAGGAGGAGGACGAGGAGGAGGTCCCGCTGGCCCCCAAAGGTCTCGACCCCTTAGGATGGTGATGATGATGATGATGAGGAGGAGGAGGAGGAGGAGAATGAGAAGGAGAAGTAGGAGGAGTAGGAAAAGTAAGGGGGAGAAGGAGGGGGGAGTGGGGAGGAGGGGGCAGGAGAAGGAAATGGGAGGAGGATGAGGAGGAGAGGGTGGGGGCGAGAGTGGGAGGGGCGAAGAGAGGGAATGAGGAAGGATGAGGAGGAGGCGGAGCACCTGCACGAGACAGCTGCACTCCCTACTGACGTAATTTGTCGACGGCCCCGAGGCCCGCTAAGGACCCCGAGAGGCCCGAAACCAAGTGCAGCCCTCCAAGTCGACGATCTTTCGTTGGCTCGGGGGTGCATGGTTGCAAGTTTTCCTCTCAAGTGAACGAACATGTTTCTGAATTGGAGGATGGAGGTAGGAAGCAGAGGAAGGAAGAGGAGGAGGAGGTAGGAGGATGAGGAGGAGACAATGAGTAGGAGGAGGGAGGAGAGAAGGAGATGCAGGAGGAGGAGGAGGAGGAGAAATGAGGAGGAGGAGGAGGATGAGGAGGAAGAGGAGGAGGAGGAGGAGGAGGAGGAGGAAGGAGAAGGAGGAGGAGGAGGAGGAGGACTTGACTGGAACTCATGGAAGCCTGGATTCCATCACAGCAGCAACTCTGACTGCAACATGAAATCGCAGAGAGAGCATGACAACTGCTGCGCGGAAGACTTCAGAGAAGAGGCCTGCGAGCCTCCGCCATTACACGATAATATGGATGGCTGCCACGCTCTGCGCAAGGCAGCACTGGCCTTGGCCAGCAACCCCAGGCGGCACGCGACCGCACTCAGGGGGCTGGCTCTGAGGCGTGCGGTTCGAGTCTCCCCCTTCCCGCTCCACGACCCCGCGGCCCACGACCCCCACCACCCCGACCACGACCCCGCCCCCCTCCCACAGAAGCAGGCGTTGGCGGTGGCATCACTATCACTGGGGTGGCTGGGAGTGCTGGATGACTATATGCAACGACCTTATTGTGCATGATATCTAGGATATCTTCCCTCACTACTCCGCGAGAGACCAGTTCACGGAAACGATCAGAATTCTGAAAAGCTCTCACGACTCTCTGTTGGCCAGCAGTCTGGAGATCTCTCTCTCGAGTGGGCCTCTGGGAGCCGCTCCCGATAGGAGCCGCCCCCCCTCCAACTTCAGAAGGCGCTCGAACAAGTCCGCTAGACGACGACCCACCTCCATCTCCCTGTGGAACGAGAACATGATGATGGCTTTCTGCGGCTCCCCCTCGATTTTCTTAATGGTCTTTATTCGAAACATCCCGCACGCTCGAGACAGCTCGTTCATGTCGATATTCTTTATCTTGCCCTCCCACAACTCTCTGAACTCCGTGATCAATTTGCGTTCCTGCTCCTCTCCTGTTCCTGCTGCTGGGCTGTGAGTGGCGCCATATGCCGTGGCAGCGACGAGAATGTGCAAGTGGGGCGGACCTCACGCGAGCATCTCCTCCCTGGCGGTGCGCCTGGCCTCGTCCCCTCCCTCCTTCGTGCGGTCCTTGAGGGCCTTCGAATCGTCGTCGTATGTCTTGCCTGCCTTGAGGCAAGCTGCTGCCAGACCGCTGCCCACCAGGATTTCGACTTTGATGAAGACGCATGCCGCCATGGCGGCGATCCCCCGGCTGTTGCTGAGCACGAGGCGGGCCATTGTATTGACGAGCATGCGGGGTGCTTTGTCTCCCTGAGCCGACTGCTTGAAATGTTTGGGCTTCCGTTCGGCTTGGGCCTGTTCGACTGTGGCGGTCCCCCCCTCGGCCTCCTCCTTCCTTTTCGGCATCTTGGACCACGAGGGGAAGCTCAACTCCTCCATCGGCTCTGAAGGGGGCCCTCACGGAGGACGGGGCGAACGGGGCGATCGCAATGGGCAGGTGGCTGCAGAGGTGGTCACACAGGTCCGAAAGACTCGAGCCCTTATAATCACAGCACATGTAAACGAGGGTGGAATATCAGCCACAGTTTTCATAGTAGCTGGCCCACGTGTAATACAATGCCCCCGAGAAATAGACCCTTGTAGATGACGTCCCGCATTAGAGGTACTTGCAAACACCTGTCTGCAGTGAATACATATGTTGCTGACTGCGAGTGTATGTGCGAGATTTCTGACATGGTGAACTTGACGAAGATGATTCATGTAGTCCCGTCAATTGGAGAATTCCACTTTACACCTCTGGCCTTCAACCTCGAGCCCACAGCCCACACACGAACATAGGGTCCTCGGCGCTCCCATCCGCGGCCGCTGCTGTCGAGTCGTGAATACCCGCGGCTCCCGCCGACGTCTCGGCGCTATGACGTGTCGGCGCAGGGGGAGGGATCGCCACCGAATGCACACGTGCTCTGAGTACCGAAGAATCGTATACAGAAAAAGTTCCGGCCCACTCTCGATCCCTGAGAAGACGGAGGTCGCGGTACAGTTCATCCAGAAAATCTTCATCCAGAAGTCCTGACGCCCACCCTACATCATGATGTACTCGTCTGACATAGGGGGAAGAAAAGGCAGATGGCAGACCACACACCAACTGAGGTCGATGAGCGTCCGCGGGCATCTCCCCAAACAGGCTGCACAGCACTTGGCCACTGCTCTCGGGGTCCTTTGCCCAGCCTTGGTACATGCACTGACGTCTGACTGCCATCTCGACCTCACTCGGTGCCACCTTCCAGTAGTTCAGGACCTGCTTATTACTCATGCTCCTCACCTTCTCCTCCCCGTTCACCACCTCCTTCTCCGAAGCCTTGCCCCTCATAGCTATCCGTCCCATAGCTGCTAGCCCACAGTCCAGACGACGGTAATCCACCTTAGATAATGCGAATGACTCCAGCCCACTTAAGATAGCGTTCTGAGCGAACCCCAGGAACAGCACCCGCTTCCACTTATATGGCAACGGCAGGGACCAGACACCCCCCAGGCTGTGAAACGTGCTCCTGGCAGCGACGAGGCGCTTCCCAATCTCATGGGCGGCCGACTCACGTTGCACGAGAAAAGGGCCCAGATACCGAGCCTCATCCTTGGGGGTGCCCTCCGTAAGCCGAGGATGGTCCCGAAGTATCTTCTTACACGTATGTGACAGCCTCGAGAAGTGGAACAGCAGTTGCTGTTTAGACATGTTCTGTCCGAAACCGAAGAGAGCCAACTTTTCATTCAAGATCTCGTCCGATAGTCTGATCTTCCCCAGGAACCCCTCCAGTGAAGTCCCGAAATCTGCTAAGATAACCTTATTCAAGTCGTCGGCGTACTTAATCAACGAGAGGTCTGCCCTAATGTCGCCCCACTGTGCGTTGAGATCCTTCGCGCTTGGGTCCCTACTCCAGAGCTCCCTCCCCCATCCCAGGATCGGCCTCGAGAACGTGGCCAAGAACATGGCGACAATGTAAGGATCACCCATCGTCCCCCCCTGCTTCGGCTGAACTGTTAAGCCCTTCGGAGAAACCCTCCAGGTCTGGGAGGCAGCACGGCGGCGACCCCGGAGCGCTCCGCGGCCCCTGGGTGGAGGCACTGTGGCGGCCCCGGGCGAGGTGCTCGGGAGACCTGCTCAGGCTCGATTTGGGCCCAGTGAGCCTCCTCCTCCTCCTCCTCCTCCTCCTCCTCCTCGTCCTGCTCCTCCTCGTGATCCTCCTCTTCCTCCTCCTCCTCCTCCTCCTCCCTCCTCCTCCTCCTCCTCCTTCTCCTCCTCCTCCTCCTCCTCGAGTCCCCTCCTCCCTTCCTCGTCCTTTCCTCCTCCTCCTCATCCTCACACCTCCACCCTCCTCCTCCTCCTCCTTCTCCTTCCTCCTTCCTCCTCCTCCTCCTCCTCGCTCCACCTCCTCCTCCACCTCCTCCTCCTCCTCCTCCTCCTCCTCCTCCTCCCTCCCCTACTGCCCAGCTCCTCCTCCTCCTCCTCTTCCTCCTCCTCCTCCTCCTCCTCCTCCCTCCTCCTCCTCCTCCTCATCTCCTTCTCCTCTCCATTCTCCTCCACCTCCTCACACCACCTCCTCCTCCTCCTCCTCCTCCATCCCCCCCGCCTCCCCTCCAGCCCCCTCGTTTGTCTACTCGACGTTTCGACATTGGGCGGAAGGGGGCGGAGGGGGAGGGAGGTCTGGCTCACCTCTGCTCAGTGCGACTGCTTGGGACCGTTCGTCCAGTGGGGGAGAGGCTCCACCTGCTCGAAACAGGCGCCCAAAAAACAGCCAAGATCATCTACAGTCAAAACGTATGTTAAGGACACGTGGTAAGGACGCAAGACCCTTGGAGGCTGAAGTTGGGATTTTTTTTTGGGCGGCGGCGACCGGTGAAAACGGCAGAGGACGGGCCACAGAGGCAAGGACGCAAGGGTATCCTAGATGAAGGCGCGCGTCCTTACTAGGCGCGTTGACTGTACTCCACGGGGGGGGAGGGGGGGTGCGAGGGCCCGCGCCGATCGACAAAAGAACGAGTAAAACACCCCTCACCTGTGGAGACCAGCCGGGGCTGCCTGCGGGGGCGGCTTGCACGCAGCCCGAAGACTCACTTGGCGGCGGGTTCGGGGGGGGGGGGGGGGACGCGAGGAGGGGCGGGCCTTCTCTAGTGGCCTCCTAGATGGGGTCGCAATACATGCGGTCGGACGGTCGCACCGCATCGCCGATGCATCGGCGATGTATCGCAGATGCATTGGCGATGCACCAGCAACGTCGGCGATGCTCTGGCGACGTCGGCGTGCAGAAACTCGGGCTCCACATCGAGCCGCATCGTCGATGCATTGGCGATGCAGCGCGACCCTCCGACCCCATCTACTCCGACCCCATCTAGGAGGCGTCCATTCTCGAAAGGCTCGGACCCCCCCTGGCCTTCCGAGAAGTGTTCTAAGTTTCCCCCGGAGACGCAGACAACTTTTCAGAAAGCGCGAGGCTTCTGAAAAGTCCCGCCGTCTTCTGAGAAGGCCTTCTCATTATCATTTCCCCCCCTCGCTCGCCGCCGACTCACAAATCGAGGAGGGAGCCGGAGAAGACCCTGAGATAGTGGCGTCTCGATGTTTCGTGGCGGTCACCCAGATTCGGGCCGCAAGATCATTGTTCGAGAGGTTTCCGTATCTGCGAGACGTCGAACGAACAACATTGCAGCATCGCGAAGAAGCACGGCTGGAGCCCGACACCCCATCTTTCTATGCTATTTTTCGACCCAAATCGATCAGTGCTGGTGTCGGGGCCCGAAACCAAGCGAAAACGTTGGTTGTGAAAACATGGCAACGCCCGGATCCCAAAGGAACAGGATGATCGAGAAGGAGGAGGAGGAGGAGGAGGAGGAGGAGGAGGATAGAGGAAGAAGACGAGGATCGCCGAGGAGGACGAGGACACGGGAGACGCTGCTTGGGCCCGGGCCAGCGCACAGCTCCATCAGCGCAAATGCCAGCGACCACAGGTCGTCTACGCGCCCCGTGTCCTGACACGACTGCGCTGCCATCGAGGCGTAGCAGGTCGTGCCGAGGAACTTCACCTCTGAGGGAGAATGAGAGGGCGGACTGGCGAAGGGTGGGGGACCTGCCATCGGCGATACATCGCCGATAGATCGGCGATAGGCCCCCGATGGCGAATCCGCATGTTCCTGGGCGGGGTGCACTATCGGGCCCCTAACAGCGATGAGCAGGCGATTGGTGGTCCATGCGTTCCCCCCTGAGCCTATCCCCGTCCCTGGTGGTTTCCGGGCCCTTACTCGGGCCTGCAGCGGCCGTTCGGGACGATCCGGGTAACCCCAGAACGCCCTCGGCGAGGCGCAGCTGCTGGAGAGCATCCCGAGGCTGGGAAGCCAACGAGAACCAACGAAAACGTCCGAAAACCGACCGCCCCCCCCTGATCCCGTTCCCCCCTACAGCTCCCCTGAGCCCACCGTGCATTCCCGAATGGACGTGCACTCCGAGCGAACGTTCCCGCCCTCCTCGAACGTGCATTCCCCCTCATCCAACATCCTGCACGTGCCTTTCCCTCTCCTCGAATGTGCACTCCCACCCTCCTCCGAACGGACACTCCCCCCAGCCTCGACCATTCTTGATCAACAAAATAGCAGCTGCCGCTACACGTCGTTCACTTCTAACCGTTCTCATTTCTAATTGCGCTCGTTTCGAATTGTTCCGGGCCCCCTAGTGGCTAGGAAGAGGCCCAGGATAGAACAGTTAGAAATGAAAGGATCTTGGCCCCAGGAAAACTCTTAGAAAAGAACAATGTGCAAACCTGTGGGAGGAGATCTAAGTTACAGCAGATGTATAAATCGCTGCTCGACCAACGACTGGGACGTCAAGGAGGCTACGTCTTCACCGTGTACTTAAAAACAAGGGGTTCTTTATTGTCGATGAGCTCCTGACATTGCCCCCTCCTCGAACGCGTATGTCCCCCCCTCGGGGATCGACTGACCCGAGTCAATCCAGACCCGTGTCTGCTGGGTTTTGCAGGATCCTGCAAAATCCAGCGGGGTCCTGCAGTATCCTACACGCCAGCCCAGGCCAATACCCGGCGCTCTGACTGACACCCATTTGCGTTGACCCCTGCCTCTTGAGCCCCGGCCCCCCAGAGATCCTGACCCACTCCCTGGAACCAACTTCTCCTCCCGAAAACGTTCTTCGACGATCCCGAGGCCCCGGAAAGGCCCCCCAAGAGTTCGAACATAGCGAAGATCATTCCGTCATGGTTCTCGCATGGCCCACGGGAGTCTGGGTTTGAATTGGCCCCCGTCTTCTCCTCCTCCTCCTCCTCCTCCTCCTCCTCCTCCTCCCCCTCCTCCTCCTCCTCCTCCTCCTCCTCCTCCTCCTCTTCCCC